TGAAGAAGATCCATCGAAGATCCACCAAAAATCCATCGAAGATCCATCAAAGATCCATCGAAGATCCATCAAAGATCCATCGAAGAGTTCATCCAACATTTTTGGAAGAAAGAGAATCCATGGTTATAACTGTAAAATAAAATAGAACAAAACGATAAGTTATCTGGAATATTATTCAAAATCATAGAAAATGAAATCGAATAAAATGTAAATAAAAATGAATACTTACAATGCATTCCAATGGGACAAATCTCAATGGCATCATGGTAATGCACACCTCACGTGAATCTAATAACGCGGTATAAACGAAAATAAGAAACTATAGATGAGTTTCTTATCGCGAAATCGAAATTTTATTCTACGACGAACAACACTGACTCTAATTCGCGTTTGATTTTAACTTATTACTCGCCCGATCACTGATTCTACAACTAATTCAAAAACTCCTTTTTGCACGCAGTTTAATAATACCACTATAACCACTGCTTTGATTACCACATAGGGCCATGGCAATCTGAAACATAAATAAAAAACAATAATAATAATATCATTACTATTACAAAAAATCATTAAAATTATTGAGGAATTATTTAATACAAAAATATACTCACTTTGATGAATGCACGATGAATGCACGATGGGTCTCCTACCCTTAGGACGACGATGATAATGCACAAACAATGACTATAAAACTGCATTCCATGCAGTTAATTCAATTAACACTAGATTTATGGACTGAGTAAATTTGATTCATTTCAAACTTTTTTGCTACATATATAAATATATAAAATAGAAATATTATTATGTTTTTAAATATATGTTAATTTTTAATGCTGTAATGAAATATACGTAAATATTAATTCCTCTCCTCTCCTACTTTTTCATTCGAACAATGTTTGTAAATTTTTAAAAAATAGTGAAACAAAATAATAGTGAACGAATCTAGTGTTAAACGAATTTTTAAATGAATTTAATTAATGAAATGTGAATACCATTCCAACGATGATCTGAAACACAAAGAAAAACAAGATTATATAAATCGTTATTATATAAAAATTACTATAATTATTGAGAAAATGTTTAATATAAAAATTGACTTACGTTTATTCTTCATTGATGAATGCACGATGAGTATCCTACCCTTAGGATGACGATGAGCACACGTTTAAACTTAATAAAAGAAACGTGCGAGTTTCTTAACCGAGCAAACGAAACTTTAACATGCGACGATCAACACTGAATCGACTTGTCGACTTTTTTATATTTTATTTTAACACGATACAACACACGTGTATTTCATTGCCTACACGCACGATTGCAATGATCTGAAACAGAAAAAGATAAAGAACAATTAATGTCATCGTCTTAATAAAAAACCATTGAAATTATCATAGAAATGTATGACAGGAAAATATACTAACTTTTAGTCTTCGTTGATGAATGCAGGATGGGTATCCTACCCTTARGATGACGATGTRTAAAATAAAATTAAATAAAAAGTCTAAAAAGCTRGAAYATACTAAAGATTATATTACAATATTTCCTGTAAATCATTTCTGAAGGCAGGGCACACATTAAAACCATTGAATATTTTATCAAAAATATTCAATGGTAAATAGAAAGAAATAATTTAATAATCTATGAGAATTGACATAATTAAAAGTTGAAGTTATTAAATATTGGTGAAATTGATCAAAGTATGCAACTATTTACTTGCTAAATTACATACCAAGTATGTAATATTAGTTAAAAATATTAATTAAAAATTTAAAGTTGTCTAAATAAAACAGTAATTGTATCAACAAACTCAATAAAGAGTAACATAAAAATAATAAACCAGTTTTTATACTATTCTATGCAATGAAAAACTTTTTAAACTATTAAAATCAAAACGATAATGTTAGAAATAAAATTATTAAATAATTTAATACGCTTTATTTTCGTTGATGTTGTCTCGTTGAAGGATAGAAGACGAATACGAGGTACTTTACTATGTAACCTTGGTAGAGGAGACTTCGGAAATGTCGAACGCTCGGCTATTATACCTATGTTATCGGCTGTTTACGTTTTGTCGTCGACTCGAGAAATACCTGGAAATATAAATACACATTTATAATAGCTTATACGCCGAGTGTATTGTTTTCTTATTCTTCCTTGCTCTCTCTCACTCCTTCTCTCTCACTCTTTCTGTAGTATTTCTATATGCTTATATTCTTATACTTAAAAAAAATAATACTCACCTCTCCGTATATAGGGAAGATAAAAAAAGTTGCCACAAGTTTAAAAGGTTAGTGAATTCGTGTTATAACTCTACCCATACTTAGAATGCTAAAAAAAAAGTAAAATATGAAAAAACTCACGTATAAAAATCTTGGATGCAGCTATCAATTTGATATATAACATTTGATTATATAACATTATATATCATTTCATATATAACATTATTTGATAATAGGAAGATGTAATTTAGAAAATTATTTGAAAAAATTACCTGAAATTAACGGGATAACAAAATCTGCTGCAACACGTATACTGATGACAGATTAAAGAATTCGAAAGATTCGCCATATTGATGTGCATAAAACAGGCGCGTAAGACTGGCGGGAAAATACTGCATGCGCGAAGATGCTGCGCAGTATATCTTCTTTCCACCTACAATAAAGAAAAATTTCGAATGAATAAAAATACGATATAGGAGCATAAAAACTGTCAAAATATACTCAAAAAATCAAAATTGATTCTTATATATCCATTATATATTATAATAGGAAGGTGTAAACCTTACAAAATACCTTTTAATTACGTGATCTTAACTGGACGATAACACTCCGATGTATTCTCCACGAACGACGCCAAGAAACTAAAGAACATTGGCTGTGATTGGCTAATTCATTTTTTCGAATATGAAAAATTATATATCAACCTTTAAATATACCATCCCTTCTCACACGCACCTACATTTCCTTCCTAAAGAGGAAAAATATATATGAAAAGAAAAAAATATATATTTTAATAATAATTATTATAATTATAATTTTTGATTTTAATAGTTTAAAAAGTTTTTCACATTGCATAGAATGGTTTTAAAACTGGTTTATTTTTTATGTTACTCTTTATTGAGTTTGCTGATACAATCACTGTTTTATTTAGACAACTTTAACCCTTTGCACTCCTATGACGAGTGTGACTCGACATCGGTTTTTACATCAAAAGATATCATAAATAAATTTTAGATAAATATTTAAAATCATTGGAATCTGCTGAAAACAAAATTGAAATATAATTCGGAGTGCAAAGGGTTAAAGATTTTTAATTAATATTTTTACTAACATTACATACTTGATATGTACTTTAAAATAGTAACAAAAAATGAACTAATTCATAATTATTTTACATTATTCGCAACGTATTTCGATGTGTATCTATTAGTGTATATGTTTGTTAATTTGAAACACTTTAATTAACGTTAAATGCATTACATTTTCTTTTTTTTTTTTTATTACATTTAGTAACTCATTACAATGTAATTTCTTTTTATGTGTTTACTTAGAGGAAAATTTAAAATGATTTTATTTTTAAATAATAATTCTTTTGGAAGGAAATAATATTTTTTGTTTATTTCGAAGATATCGCATAATTCGTATAACACAATTTTTGAAATGAGAGTTATAGATTAAGAAAATAATCCTTATAAACAGTATAGCTAAAATCAGTTGTCTTTTCTAAATTTCAGGAATTTTTTCCGATGACCAACTCATTCTTGATATCAACCATTTTGGATCACCACAGGAATCTTCAACAAATGCTCGACAAGATTTAATTATTGCAAAGCCAAAGTTATTGAAACATTTGTAATAAATGTAAAAAGAAATATAATAATACGTACATTTTAGGAATTTGATTTTGTCGCGTAAAAATTAATTGCAATAAAAAAAAAATAAAAAGAAAAAAAAAAGAAAAGAAAAGAACTACCAAAGAAAAACATTGAAGAAATTTAACTGCTGCTGCTGCTGCTGTTTTTTATTATCCGTTTTTGGACAGATTTACTTTTTATACGTTAAACATATATATAATGTTTAAAATATAATATAATAAATATGAAAATATGTTTAAACAGAACATTATCTAAGTAAACCCAAAAAATAAAAAATAAAAATTTCTTTTTATCCTCCATTTTCCTCTACCTATGCAAAAAAAGAATAAACAAAAAAAAAGAAAACAACAAGAGAAAAGAAATAAAAAAGTATCGGAATTTTTTGAAAGATTTATTTTTGTACCTGCGTGATTATATCATACTACTACCGCTTCTATTGGTGAATGGTTTATATGTGTACGACTATATTACTTATGTTATGTGTTGCGTCCGTGCTTCAATGTTAATTACTATCTCTCGTTTGCCGATTACATAAATAACAAAATAAATCAAACAATTAAATAATAATGGACAATAACTAATTTAAAAAAAAATAATTAATTAAACAATGAAAAATCGGAAAAAAAGGAAAGTGAAGAAGTCTGGTTTAGAAAAAACAAAAACAAAAAAGAAAAGAAAAAAAAGGAAAAGAAAGACGAAAAGAACACAAGCGGCAAAATAAATGAAAAATAAACGCGTAATTATGCGAAATAAAAAAAAAAATACACAAATATCTCGATATATTAGGTTTAACAATTAATTTAATGATTTTGTAAAAAATTAAAAGAAAAAAGAACTCCACACGCGCGTAATGATTTTCACACACAATAAATTCAATTAATATTACATATCGAGGAATCGAATTAATTGATACGCCTAATATATATATATATATATATATATATTAAAAAAAAGAAATACTAAAAGAGAAAGTAAAAAAGAAAAAATAATTAATATTTAATTAAGGTGAACTTCGACGAGATAAAAAGTGGAATAAAAGGGAGAGAGAGAGAAAGAATGAGATAGGAAATAAATAAAAAGAAATAAACGACACTGACAAAATATTCTTCATTTTTTTTTAGAACGGAAGTATTCGCCGAGCGCGGCCATCGATTGGTATTATCAATACCAAACCTTGTATCTACGTCTGATGGCCGAGAATCAAATGGCCGAAAATGTAAGCAGTTCTGGAAACCTCAAATCATTTGGTAAGGAACAACAGCAGCAACAACAACAACAACAACAACAACAACAACAACGACAACAACAACATCAACAACAACAACAACAACAAACGACAACGAGTAATAGAAAACAATCGAACGATTATCCCAACAATTTGGATCATCAATTTGTACAAAAGCAAACGATTAATAATTTGGAATCGGCTAATATTCAAGGAAATTACGGAACAATGTATTCTTGTTTACGTTGCGGTAATGCTTACACCAGGCCACACTCGTTAAATCGTCACATTAGATTCGAATGTGGTGTAGAACCTCAATTCGAATGTCCCATTTGTCACAAAAAATCCAAACACAAGCACAACCTTTTGTTACACATGCGTACCCATCAAAAACCTTGAGTACAAATTTTCCTTTCTACTTGTAATATTTTTGTTTCTTTGTTTTGTTTTTTTTTTTTTTCACTTTTTTTAAATTGACAACATACGCGAACGAGATTTAAATGCTCGTTCCTATCGATCAAATTCGTTTTAAGATTTCGCTTTACGGACAGGACCTTGTGTTTATTCGTTTATTTTCAAATTTTGAGATATACTTATATCAAACTACGTTTGTTGATTGCCAAGCTAAGATTTTCTTTTGTCTTTACTTTTTATAAATATATATATATAAATATATATTTGCCAAGAATATTTCTAAATAATCTATTAACATTTTTTATTCTGAAATTCTTAAAAATGTAATGTTCTTTCCTTATCAATTTAAAAAGGTCTTCCAAAGATTTAGAAATGTAAGTGTCTTTGTTGTTTCTTATAATTTTTGTTACAATTATATATTTGCAAGATAATATTTCTATTGTAGAATAATAACTATGAATATAACAAAAAATCGTATGATTCATTATTATTATTATTATTATTATTATTATTATTATTATTATTATTATTATTATTATTATTACTATATATTATTATTATTATTATTATTATTATTATTATTATTATTATTATTATTATTATTATTATTTTTATATATTTTTTCTGAGATATTCGTGGGAACAATGTTAAATTAGCCTGGTGAAACACGTTATAAAAATTATTATTATTATTATTATTATTATTATTATTATTATTATTATTATTATTATTATTACTATTATTATTAAGAGAAAAAATTCTCTGAATCGATTGTAAAAAAAAAATTTTTTAAATGTCTATTCATCTCCATCAACAGGGCCGTATTTAAATTTAAGAACCAAAACACTCATTTCAAGTCCACGAATAAACCAAATTTGTTGTAATTAATCAAGAATTCACATTTAAAATTTATGTTCTTTTCTAAAATATATTAAATTTATTTATTTATATGTTTCGTTCATAAATAGTATCAAGATTCATAATGATTAATCATTCATGAACATAAGGCTTGATAAATACGACCCTGTCCATCAATCAATATCTTCAAATATCAAAAAGGAACGATCTCGAAATATTGGGTTGAATATAAGGTAACGTTATTGAAAAATAGACTGACTTACTGCCATTTAATTAAAAAAAATACAAACAAATTACTAAATCTTCGTTACTAAGAACGAGAAATTCTGCATTATACGTATTCGTTTTATTTTTTGTTATTTGTTTTGTTTGTTTTTTTTTTTGTATTTTTGTTTTTACCATCATATTATAAATCGTGCTTGATGAATATAGAGAAATAAAAAGTTTCCCAAATTTGGCATACTCTCGTGTTTAGAACAAAGAAGAAAATAAGAAAGTTATTTTGTTTTTTCTGTTGAGACCATAGAGAGATACTACACGTAGAACAAACAAGCCAGCATAAAACCTGTCGACGAAATAAAAACAGATTGAAGATAGGAGGTTGATGTTATCTCTCTTTAACTTGCCAGTCTTTTCTTCTTTCTTGCGTTATATATATATATATATGTGTACCGCATGAGTTAGAGAGAGATTGGGATCCTGTAGGAGGGATGCGCTATTCATATTCAGCTCATGTGCCATTGGCTGAAAACTTTGGGGGACCGCTTGAATTTATAATAATTTTTTCGTGTAACCTATTCTATTTTAATATAAATTTTTAATTATCATTAAATATAGTTCATTTTTATTTCTGTATTTGATGCAATTCATTATTTCATAATTATTTCAATGTTTGAATCATTCGCGCGCAAAATCGAGTTCCGGTCCCCCAGCAATGTACATGGCGCATCCCTCCTATAGGATTCCTAGAGAGAGACAACATCAACCTTCCTTTTTTTGCTGCTATATTCATGCAGAGACATTTCCACTTACCAACCGCCTATGGTTTGTTTCTTGTATCTGTAATATCTTTATGGTTGAGACTCAAAACTTTTTAGTTAATCCCACCTGTGTTATGTATTATATATACTTTATATACACTTCATAAATATTATTTTATCACGTTTCAAAAATGCATGCATGCATATTATATATGAATGTGTATATTATGTCTCATTTGTGTGTACGGCTAATTTGAATTTTTATTAATTACAATGTAATATTATATATTACGAAACGAAGAAGATGATAGAGAAAATAAAAAACGAAACTATATGTTGAAAATATAAAAAAAAGAAAAAGAAAATAAAAAAATAAATATAAAATAATTAATTAATTAAATAACTAATTAATAATAAATAAGCACCAGTCGCGCTAGTTTAAAGAATAATTGTAAAAAAAAAAAAAATAAAAAAGAAAACAGGAAAAAGGAAAAGTAAAAGAAAATGAGCTGTGATCTAATAAGGTGCCACGTATGATTTATAAATTAAATTAAATAAAAAAAAAAAAGAAGAAGAATAAATTTAATCAACGAATAACAAATATAAGAAAAGTATAGAAGAGATAAGTCGTGTTAAAGAAAAAAAAAAAAAAGAAAAAATATAAATAAAAGATAATGAAAAATAAAAAAAAAAGATGGAAAATTTATCTTAATTAAATATTGCTACGTATATAATAATAATATATTGTTTATAAGAGTTGAAAAATGTGCGGCAGTGCCAAAACAATGAAACAAATAGTCTGATGTATATTAATTATACGATAGAACCAGAAAGAACATTTTTCTATGTAAAATATAAGGAAAAAGAAAAAAAACGATATAATTTATGTATATGAAAATCTTTCCTTTTTTATATTTTATGTATTCACAGATTATTCGCTAAGAAGTATTGTATTATGACAAAAAAAAAATTATCTACAATAATTGCATATGCATCCAAATCTGTTTTTACACGGTAGTTCCTTAAAATAAATCAGAAAAACTGTGTAAAAAAAAAAAAAGAAAAGAAAGTAATAATAATGAAACCTTAACTGTAAAAATTTGGAAACATTTATTAGAAATTTGATGATTCTATATATGAAAAATTGAAGTCAAAAATATAAAATCGTATTATTTCAAAACCACGTAAATGAATATAAAGAATATTGTGTAAAAAAGAAGAATTGGGTGTATATATGTTTTTAACAATGTACTATTATACATATGTAAGTAGATACTTGCACATATGTGAACTTGAACAAAAAAAAAACAAAATATTTAATTATTATTTAAAATTACTATATTTCTCACTCGTGTATGTTACATTACGTGTATATAAGAAAAGCAAAACGTATATAAAGAGGATCTAAAAAATATATAATAAATATATTATAAATTCTTATACATATATACATAGATATTATATGTACGTATATGTGTATATAATATGTAACAAATGTCAAAACACAATGGAAATAAAAAAAAATGTATAATTTTGTAGTCTATAAGGATTTCATACAAATTTTTTCGTTCGCAAAAAAAAAAAATTATGGAAAAACCTATAAAAATAATATGTCCATCACTTTTCTTTGTAACTTTGTATACTATTATATTTTTAATTACTATTTAAGAAAAAAGATTAAGAAAAAAGATAAAGAAATACTTATTTAAAGGAAAAATTTAGTACACGTTCGTGGACAAACATCTCATAATTATTACAGTGAATGTAGTAAGTAATTATTTCGCTTTTATTTTTTACATTTCATCGAATGATATATTCTCTCTTCGGCTTGATCATGTTCTTTTCATTTGTTTGCCAATATTCGTCACTTATACTTAACATTATTCCTATGTAGTTGTGTACAGAAAAAACAAAATCGCGTGCAAACATTTGTACTTTTATTTTTATTTTTTTTTTTTTTATAATATTTTTTTTTATATTTTCTGTGTATATCTGTTTGTGTAATCGAAAATATTATTATTCATCTGCACATTCTCATTTTATAATATTTTCTCTTTAAATAAATAAATTAATTAATTATTGAATTAAATAATAGATAAATAAAATTAGCGTAATTGCATGCGAATTAAAGTATACCTTAAATAAATGCAAAACGTGATTAAGATGCCCTAATTAAATGCAATCAAAATAAAAAAAAATAAAAACAAAAATAAAAGAGGGTAGAATAATAGGTAATAAAAATCAAAATTCGAAATCGAAAAGGAAAATCATTTTGCATCCAAATTGCGGCATGGCTGATAAATCATCGATGTGTAATCATTCCAAAAATAAACAAAAAAAAATACAAAAGAGGAAAAATATCCTTTTCCTGTCGTTCAAAAATAAGCTTTGCCTAATTCGCGTTAAAAAAAAAAAAAAAAATTATATATCATCCTTTAAATATACCATCCCTTCTCACACGCACCTACATTTCCCTCTTAAAGAGGAAACAAAAAATATGAAAAGACAAAAATATACATTTTAATAATAATAATAATTATCATTATTATTATTATTATTATTATTATTAAAATATATAATATTAATGAAAATATTTTATTTCGTTTGCTATTTCTTATATTAAATTGTTGTAAAAAAAAAAATAGAATTCTCCATCGAGAGATAATAAAAAGAAAATGTGTACAATTTTGTTAATACTTAACGAATGATTTCTTTTGTTTACAACAATATGTTACAGCTTGGAAGAGAATAAAGGATAACGAGGACAGGCCACCGTTTCTTTGCCGAAAATGTGGTCGGACTTATTCGCACAAGTGCAACTTAATGCGACATTTACGTCTGGAATGCGGAGTTGGTCCAAGATTTCAATGTGGAAGTTGCAAGAGACGTTTCAAACATCGACATCACCTGAGAGATCACGAGAGAATTCATTTCTACGATGATTGCAGTTGAACTAAAGTGCGCTTCTTTATTTTATTTTATTTTATTTTATTCTTTTATTTGTTTGTTGATAGCTGAATATGTTATGGAACGTTTACTTATTACGTATACGTATACCTGTACGTGTATATTATTATAATATAATATAATATTTATTTATTTATTTATTTATTTATTTATTCGTTAAATCAATCGAATTATGTACAATATTCGTTATAGAAAAAATGTTTCATTTGTGTTCTTTTTAAATGAATTAATTACGTTAGTAAGATACATAGATATGTACCCATAAATATGAAAGTGGTCTAAGTTAAAATTAATAAAAAAAAATGAGTTGTTTATCAGTTATTACGCACTATATTATTATAAACTAAATAAATTCAATGTAATTTGAAAACGATATTATCAAAAATGAATTGTTAGATGATGTTTGGTATTTCAATATTGTGTAGAATTCATATAGTGTTCAAGTATAAATCTTGAAATATCTCGATACAAGAGATATATGACTTACATTAGAACACTTTCATAATTATGGGCACATATATTTTAATTAAGTTCGTCTGTGATCATGATCTCGTAGAAATAAAAAATTGTTTATTTGTTATAACATGTACTTAATGTACTATAATTAGTTGATTAACAATCTCGTATATAAGTTTCTTTTCTTTATCTTTTAATTTTTCTTATATGTTATTTCTTTTTAGTAAATACGAAAAAAAAAAAAGAGAGAGAACAAGAAAGAATAAGAAAATGATAAACGAAAATGAAAAACAAAAAAAAAAAGCAAAAAACAAAAAACGATAAATACATAAAAAAGATTTGTTAGATTACTACTATGGATAAATTACAAAATTTGCAACTTTGTCTTTATCTTTCAAATTTTGAAATATGTAGACCACTTTGTGTATAAAATATTTGTGCATTAAAAAAAGAAAAAAACATAAAAAAAAAAAAAGAAAAAAGAAAATCATTGAAAAGCTACGAACTTTCAAACCAAATTTTCGATGTTCGTGATACATGTGTAAAATTGTTTGCGTGCCAAAACGAAGAAAAAAAAACAATATATATATATATATTATATTATTATTGAGTTAGATAAAAAAAAAAAAAAGAAAATAAAAAAAAATATGATACACTCGATTTAAATCAGTGACTGAAATTTTTATATCTTATGTTTTCTCTTTTATTTTATTTTTTTTTTTTTTACAATCACCGAAAATACAAAGAGAAATTATAGTATAAATTATTAATATAAATAATAATTATTATTATTGAAGTTAAAAAAATACTAGATTATTTATTTAAAAAAAAAAGGGAAAAAAACTTATTTAACTTAAGTTACTTTTTATTTTTTGTTAAAACTTTGATAGCATAAGAAAAGATGTAAGTAGAGAAATACTAATAATCTGAACTATTTCAATAATTGTACGTATCGTATTAAAAATTCAATAGTTATATAAAATAATTAAATAAATATATAACAAAATATGTCAAAACAAGTGGCCATAATTGAATCCGTCTAAAAAAACTTTTCTAAGCCGGTGCTCGATCAATACATTATAATTAAATAGAAAGAAAAAAAACTACCTACAACAACAAAAATATAACGAAATGAAATAAAGAAATAACATGTAATAATATTAATAATAATAATATTAATAATAATAATAATAATAATAATAATAATAACAAAATAAACTACATAATATACATAAATAAAAACGTAAAACATATGTGCAGTATGAGGAGTTGTGTTCGGTGCTTCCGTCTTATATAAAAATAAAAATAAACAAAAATAATAATGAACAACAGGTAAAGAACACTAAAGAAAAATATTAGTAGTGTGTAGACGATTGCTAATAAAATAATAATAATAAATGAAAAATTGTTACAAGTACCTCTCACTCGTGCCAAAGAAGATGAGCCGTTTGCACGGTCTATATATTGTATTTTTTAAATATATATGGATATACGAAATAATATATTGTATGTATACACATATGCATCTATATCGATATAATTAAATAGTTAACAATATACTAACATAGATATAATATCATTTTAATGACATAGGACCAATTCGAAATGATTCTTCCATCGTTATGTGAACGAACTATTAATAATTTGATCATATAAACTAAATTAACATTATTTCTATCGTTAAACAGTCTTCTTTTCTATTCTTCTTTTCTTTCTTTTCCTCTGACTCTTTGATTTTTTCATCAAAAATTTCAATAAACATAAACAAAATGAAAAGAATGAGTAAACCGTGCGAACGGAACTCGAGTAATTAGGGTTTCGAGTAGATGCAAACGATCATTTTTTTCTTTTTTTTTTTAATAAAACCAATGAAAGAAAACGACATTATAACATATATGAAAATAGAAAGCGTATTATTATTATTATTATTATTATTATTATTATTATTATTATTATTATTATTATTATTATTA